CCAAAAGGTTATTGGAGCAAACAGACCGCTGGGGATATTATCCCTCCATGTTGAAGGTTTTTTCTAATTTCAAGGAAGTGGACTCTTTTTTTTTATTTTTTTTACTGCCGTTTCTGCTTGGAGTATTTTCTGTTGTGGCCTTTTGGCTCACAACAGTGACACTACACTACCACAGTCAATAAAGAGATTGACTGGATATCGTTTTGGAGTGTGAGTGACTTTACTTGGTTTTCTTGAAAAGCCAGGTCATCCTGATGTGATCATCATCATCAGCAGCAGCAAAGGTGTAAACCTACCTTTTTATTGGCCAATGATTGTCCCTTGTTTTGGATATTTCCAAGTTAATCAAATGTTCATTTTCAGCAGCAGGGAACCATTAAGCATTTGTTGATACCCTACAAGTGAACCTTTTATCCATTGGAATGCGGTCTCTACAGTCTTCATTGACTGTATTCTCTAGGCTAGTAGCAGATAGTGAATTAGTAATAGTCTTCACTTTCCATGGATGAGTCACTATATTGTCAGCTCGATGCTGTAGTGGCAGCTGTGGACACCGTCTGTTCCCATACTCCCAGGAACGTTGTTGGCCACGCACTGTGAAGCCTGTGTGGAAATAAAATAATCAGGGAGGAAAGGAAAATGGCTGTGTTTGACCCAATTTATTAAAAAAGAAAAAGTAGAACTTGTAAAAAGTGCAGTGCATGTATTTTACATGTGTTTTAATGAATGGAGCTGCAAAATAGTTTAACTTCTGATGTCACATGTTCTTCTTCGTACATTGAAGTAGCATTTTTATTTTCCGTTCACTCCTGATAGCTGAATGGAGCAGCAGGGTAGTAAAGGAGGGCATAGTATGTACTGCTGGGGAGGTGTGTATGGAGGGGTGTGTTTTCACAAATGAAATCAGGTAAATGCATTTTAATTGCATCAGAACAGAAGTCTTACAGTTCCCTTTTGCTAAAAAGCAGCCACGGAGTAGAAATGCCTGTCCTCTGCCAGCGTGCTGCAGAGAAGGGACCCTTGCTCTCTGTGTGGAAGCAGGGGTCTCTGCAAAAGTCCAACACATCCCCTGCTCAGTCATAGCTAGAGCTCTCCAATCAGTCAAGCTCATGTTTGCTGCTGATTGGAGATCCCTGCTACTCCTCTCTATTCCAAACATTCAACTTTTACTAAGCCTGAGTAGACACATACCCACTTTCCCATCTCCCTGTCATATGACTCTATATGGAGTGTCAGACAGAGACACAAGTGAGTTGCTGAGGCTTAGCTCTCATCATAGACATTTCAAAAAGCTGTGAATATCATGGTGGCACCCTGTATTAAATATTTATTTCCCAACTGAAGATTCTAGAGAAGTTGTAAAAGAAGTGACTCAGAAGATTCATTAATAAATTAGCCAAAAAGGTTGAAATGTTAGCCCAGAATCTAACTGACTTGAGCTCAGGGCTGGTAAGTGACGTGCTAACCAGGGTGCTGCTGGAGAATAAAATTGTCAATTAACAAAGCCCTGAATGCGAGCCTGACATCACTTTTGTTGTGACAATTTTCTTACTGTCTGTGATGAGCTCAAGCAGGAGAGATAGGATGACGTGACGCTTAGCCAGACAATTCTTCTCTCACAGGAAGACAGTTCAAGTAAAAAATAATAAAGTAGTATTAAACTCTCAAACTTTTTTTACAATCTAGATCATCCAGTCCTCGCTCTAATATGATCCCATACAAACAGAAGAAAAGCTGGCCGCGTACCGGATTCTCCTGGGATGGTTTATTGAAGATTGTACCACATCACTGGTGGCCCATCCAAGCTCCACCTCCTTTGACGCGTTTCACCCAATCATGGGCCTTGCTGTTCTTCTGCTTGTATGGTGACACAGCTTACTAGCTCACACAAGTTTGGCTCCATAGGATATCAGGGCCAGGGTCAGTGCTTTCAATGGGTGATCAGATAAAGGGAAGAGATTATATCTATTTCTAGCTTTACATTCCTGGACATTATCAATAGGCTAATGTAGACACACTTATACCGGCATCTCAGTAAATTCATAGAACACATTTATTTATCTTTGAAGGTTATTGTGAATCTATATAAAGCAGTTTGTCATTTATATTTATTGACCTAATTTTCTTTCACAAATCTTCACGTTCAAAGCTGCCCTAATTCTGGTACTCAATGAATGTGTTACAGATGGGCTCTGGCTGACTGTGTATGGCAGGCTGCAGACCGTGCTGGGGCGATGGCCTGCTCTTGGCAGAGGGCTCTCCTGGCGGCCACTATGAAGTGTCTGACTGCCACATATGGCATCAACAAGGATCGTGAGGAAGTGGAACAGGAAGCGGAGACAGCAATGCTCTCACGACTTCGCAATCTCATGGTAGCGTATGAAATAGAAATGTATCATGCATTTATTAAAGTGACTCTGCCCCTATTTTTTTTTTAAACTCACAAACAAAAAAAGACAACAAAGAGTGTAGTGCATTACTGTTAACAGGACCGACATAATGGCTAACAATATAAATGTACTCACAAAATTCTGTATAGAAATGGCTTTGCATATAGTAGAGAACACTGATGAATGGTGTTAAATAACCCTGCTTGCAAAGGAAAGAATCTGACCAGCTATACCTTCTTTGCCAATCTTCGCTCTCATAAGGAACTATGCTTGCAAAGATTTTACGACATCCAACCCACCCCCCGCCCCATGTGGTTCCTTCCACCGGCTCCTACATTACCCCTGTGTCCTGTAGTGATGTAAGGACCAGCGGGTGAAACCATAGCATGCAAAGGGGGACCAGGCATCCAGGAGACCCAGAATTGTTGGTTACATAAACTTATTTGAAAGCTTAGTTCTTAATGAGATCTTCAACAGGACAGGAAAGATTTTTTTTTTTAAGTTCTTGCTTCCTGCCCTTCCGAGCCCCCGGAATTATGTAGGCAAGAGCCATGACATCACTCCCCCCCACTGATATCCACTGCCATATACCACAAAAGACATCCACTGCTCAGTTCATAAGTATTCCAAAATCCACCGTGCTCCAGGCTGGAACCCCAATATAAAGGTGTGCTGGTGTGACCTACGGATGGCGACACGTTTGTCACGGTATATGAAGAAGTCACCCACACTCCAAGGTCTAACGGTCACAACGCCTTTTTACTGAGACGCTAAGCAATCATGGTGACACAGTACAAAAAGCAACGTTTCAGAACCATGCATGGTCCCTTCATCACGCTGTCACTGTGTGTGCCTGATGAAGGGGACCATTCACGGTCCTGAAATGTTGCTTTTTGTACTGTGTCATCATGATTGCTTAGTGTCTAAATAAAAGGTGTTTTGCACTTTGGACCTTGGAGTGCAGGTGACTTCTTCATATAGTGCTCTGTTCATAAGCGCATACGTCTATCGCTCAGCCTGCATGGCACATTTCAACCATAGTGGCCCCTCTTGTGCTGAGCTCTGTAATATGCAATTAGAATGTCTCCCGTCAATCATCTAGAGGAGGGGACATCATGGATAGCATGGCATCTGAGAAAATTGGAGATAACAGCAGAATGGGAGCAAGCCCAATGGATAACTGCAGGTAAGCTTCATATACTGATGTGGTTATATTAGATTGTTTCAAAAGTTTACAACCACTTTAAATAGGGACAGAGTCACTTTGATAAATGCGGAGGCATTTTTTGCTGTTTATTTGAGATGATCAATTATTCAGACTCCAATTGTTGAAGTAGTGATTTATCCCTTTTTGAGACCTCTATACCTGGCCTGTATATAGCAGATACAATCACCGCGGACAATCTTCATCAGATAGCTAAACTCGCCAAATACCTTTTTATCCATGAAGATCTTTATTGAATGTAGCAGGTTACTAGCAGACAATAGGATGTCGCAGATGGTTGAAATGATGGTATTGGAAGGTCAAAAAAGGATAATGCCTTCCTCATGGGCAAATGTGGCCAGAAAAGGGCTAAATGAAACACACAGGAAAAAGGAGGTGTCACATTATACAAGGGGAGGAAATACAGAAAAGGGGGTGTAATAAACACAATGTGGCATCATACCAGGTATAACTATACTAATGCATTGCCATAGAACTGCAAGGCAGCACATCAATCATTATAGCACCAATAAGCCTAAAATATAGTAAAACATAAGTGTATTGGTAGGAGAACTGCTAATGTCATTCACCTTTTATATGTTTTATGTAACTTTTATGTAAACTTTCTTTTCTATACACGCAGTCCGTGGTGAGGGAGGATGTCCCTACAGAATGGAACAGCTTTGTGAAAACCGGACTAAAGTGAGTTGTATTTTCATCTTTGACAATGTGTTGGCTTACAATTGAGTGTTTTTAATACATATCACAAGTAAGTTTAAATGTAACCGTCAGTCGCTGCTTTAGTTAGGGGGTCTGAGTTTTCTGAATATTGCTGTAGAGTGGGCTGATGGATGTAAATCTATAGTTGAATGTACAAAGATTGTATGGTCTGATTGTAATGTGCATGGTAACCCTCCAGGGTTCAGTTTGGCTGATCCTCCCCTTCAGCACAGATAATGTGAAGTGAGTGTCTATGCATTGGACAACCATTAAGAGAAACTGGAGCGGCTACATAAAAGCTAAAAGAAAAATCTGCTTTTAAAGGAGAACTATGAGGTGAGTGATTTTCACTCATCCTCATAGTTCTAGCCGACCTGTAACAATGAAACTGTCACAGGTCGGTTCAGTAGATCGGGAAGTGAGCGAACACATACCGGCGTTTGCTCACTTCTCGATCCTGTCACGGCACAGAGCCGTGACGGGAGGGACTAGATTTCCCCCTCCCCGCTCCGATCCTCCAGCGCTGACTGGCGGAATGGACGGGGGAGGGGCGGGTACAGCTGGCTCTGCCTCTAGATAGGCAGATCCAGCTGTCACTCACGCAGCTGGGCGGATCCAGACATAATTGTCTGGATCTGTTTCAGCTGCAGCGTCTCAGTATACCGCGAGCTGTAGCTCGCTATATACTGAGCTTTGGGTGACGGGAGGACGCTAGTTTGTGTCCTCCTGTTACCCTTAGGAGAACTATGGGGAAAAGCCCTAACCCCATAGTTCTCCTTGAATAAACAGAGATAGTTGTTTAACTATACAGGCAGATTTTTTAGATCATTTTTGCATTATGATCAATTTTAAAGGCAACGTGTTTTTTCTTTCTTTCATTTAATTTGATGCTTCAATTCTTTACAGGTATCGTTACACAGACTGTGCATTTTTGGATGCTTTGTGTGCTGGAATAGCAGAGTGGTATGAGCCAAGTGGCCCCTGTACGCAGGATTTAGTGCAGTTACCAGTTATCCATATGATGGTAATGCAACATTCTCTCTTCCTGCCCAATTTTGTGAGATCTAGAGAGGAGGAGAGCAGCAGCAATACCCTTCGAGGTCAGTAAAAGTCGCAATGACACACTAATGGGCTTGTTCAGTAAATAATGCAAGGAGCAGTGATGTAATCCACTGCTGTATGAGGCTGAAATCTGGGCACTAAGGGTTACTTTGCCTACCATACTGTGAAGAGGAACAGTACTGAGTTGTCTGCAATGCTAGAAAAGACTTGGTGGCATAAGCGAATCTGCAAACAGCTCTGCAGCCGTACAAGCACTGCAGGTAAATCTTCCAGGTCCATGTTTTTTTTTAAATAAATGAGTCATTCACCTTTTAGTAGGGATGCATTGATACCATTTTTTTCTAGACTAAGTACGAGTACCGATATTTTTCCTTAAGTACTCGCCAATACAAATTACCGATACCTTTTGTCTGTAAAACAATACAGACTAATGATTTTAGGAAAGTGGTGGAGTGCAACCCTGGTAGAAGTGCCACTGACTCCAAGCTGTAGAGGGACTACAGATCTCAGCAATGCATTATTCAGCAATGCAGAACACCATCAGCTATAGAGGACTACGAATCCCAGCACTGCATTACGCATTAATGCAGAACACCATCAGCAATAGAGGACTACAAATCCCAGCAATAAGTTATACAGCAATGCAGAATAATAGTATATGTATTGAGGTACCAGCGTGATGTCTTGGGCGGAGGGTCTCAGGAGGAAAGATGTGTAAGCGCTGTAAATGGGCTCCGCGTGGTTCCCAAGAAGGCTGCCGCGAGGTCCCCAGCAAATGCGGAACTGAAGGCAGCCTCTTAAATTTGAATAATGAAACCGCCGGCATCGGTTTTTGGTATCAGGGCAGTAGGAGTACTTACGCAGGTTTTCAGTATTGATAGCGATACTGTTATCGGTAACGGTGCTTCCATAACCATTAGTGAGTGTTTGGTGAAAGCCACATCTACTGCATTATAAAAAGTCTATTTATCCTTAGTACAGTACATTCTAAAAATGTATTATAATCTTTACAATTCATCATTGAGCAGTTATACCTGTAGCAATGTAAGAGCCTTTGACAGGCTTTTGCTTCTTTCAACACAAGTCATTGGGAAAGCAGGTTGAAGGCTTAGAAGATGGTCAGTCACGTCAGAAGGAGGATCACCTGTAGGTCATATGCAGCTGACCTACCACCGGAGAAAAATAAGTATTAGCAAGAAGGGGGATAGAGGCCTATTAGTGGAACCTGGAAATCTGATTTCTGATGCTTCGTTTAAATCAGGAGCTGCAAGTGTACTTTGCTGTCAGAGAAGTCCCTGTCACTTCATGAATGTCAGTGATCAGTCATTCCTATTATCACTAGGGATGAGATGGCATATAGCAAACTCTCTTTGCTAAAAAGTTATACGATTTGCCCATTGTTAGTTCTGCACACAGAGAGTTTAAGCAGTAGTACTATTACTGTATCAGCGTATTGAATTGTTAAAGGGGATAGTGTGGCATTATAATAAAAACCAACCCACATGTATTCATTAACCTCCGACTTGTATTAAACGAAATCTAATTGGTTGCTCTGAGAATGACGCTTGCCTGTATATGTGGCAAGTTTATAGAAACACATAATTGGTCAGTGAACTCTGGGAATAGTAGGGAGCACTCCACACTTATTTGTGACTTCTGTTTTTCCTACAGAAAAGTTGGCGTATCTGCTGAGAACCATAATCGGGAAATGTCCATCGGTGTGTGACAAGAATCATTTCGCTATTTTACTTGGTGCCTATGGAGCAACTCTCAGTGTAACGGGTAATTGATTGTGCAATTAACTTCTCTCATTTAAAGAGTAACTCCAGCTATTAACACAATTAACCTTTGCAGTGGACCCCAGCTTTGCAAGGGGTGACTTCTCGCTTTGGTCTAGGAGCTGGAAACCGAAGATATGCTTACCTGATCCTCGGTCCTACGTCGGTCACTGCTCACCTCTCTCCCCCTCCGCTCTGGCATGTCCCTCGGCGGCCTCATGTGTAATGCAGGTGAATGGACCAGCATTAGACATGATGATGTCAGCAGTCCTTAGCCCAGCAGAGATGATGCTGCGGGGACTGGTCTAGATGCCGGCGTGAGAACTGGGGATCGGGTCAGTATATCTTCTTTAATCCAGCATCTAGACCAAAGCAAGCAGTTAACCCTTGCAATGTGGGTGTAGCCCTACTGTAAGGGTTCATTTTGTTTATTGCTGGAGTTCCTCTTTATAGATGGACTGCTCCACTTTATTGAGTTCAAATGCATTGTGTGACATTAAAGGAGAACTGTGGGGCAACCTTTTTTGGCCATAGTTCTCGTCAGGGTCACAGGATGACATATACTAATGTTTCCTGTGACCCAAAACTTAGTATATAGCAGGCTATTGCCCACTATATGCTGGGAGCGCAGAGCTGCGCCGCAGCTGGGACAGATACTGACGAGATCCAGCCCGCTGGCTGATTCACAGCTGGCTCTGCCTCTCTAGAAACAGAGCCAGCTATGCCTGCCCCTCCCCTGGTGGGGGGAGAGGGTCTGGAAGTCAGCCATCAATGGTATGCGTTCGCTGACTTCCCAATTAATAAAGCTGACCTGTGACATCTTCAATGTCACAGGACAACCAGAATTATGGAGATGAGTGTTTTTCACTCACCCCATAATTCTGCTTTTAAGAGAGCTTTCACACCAAAATCTGAAGCAAATCCCAGTTCAACTTGACTTGCATTTGTGCCTTCCGATTTCCTTTCCATCCATTTCGTTGCAATAAGCTTTTCAACTGATGCTAATGGAAGTGCACCAAAAAAATGAATGAGTGTGTAGGGGCTAGGTCACACTGGACCCATTGAGTTATATTGCGCCGAAAATAGTAGTGTATGTTCTACTTTTTTTTTTTTTCAGCATAACGCAATGGAACGGTGTGAACTAGCCCCAATCACATACACTCAATCCTTCCGTTACCATCCATAGAAAAACAAATCTCAATGGATCGCAACGCAATAGGTTCCCAGTGTGATTGGGCCCTGAAGGGATGTTTCCATTATAAGGTAGTGCCTAAGACAGTGATTCACCCCCCGGATTGTTCTGTCTCTTGATTCTAGTGAGGAGGTCTTCCTGCCTTAGTTCTTGCTGTGTTCCTGCTCACTCTGGAGCACTACATTCCCACACACCCTAGGTTTTCCCACTCTTACTTTGGAATTCTCTATACTATAAAATAAAAATTCCACCATGGTATGGAAGCTGAACTAGTGGATGCGTGCAGGTCAAGTGTCTGCCCGCACTATCAGCCTTCCTATATTAACACTGGAGATCTCTGTCTGGCTCTGAACAGGATACGCATGGGTCAGATCGTTCCTCTCCACACACACCATAATGACGGGCACAATGGAACACTATTGTAATGGCAACAACGGGTTTGCGGCGATCTATCCACCAAAGTCCTTAATAGACACTGAAAAATGTTGTTACTCTTCAGCATCTTCCACAAACCGAAATATGGATTTGGCAGATTAACCCTTTCATCATCCTGCATTTCTATTTCTTTGTAATTCCTGCCTGTATGTCTCCATCTGTGTTGTCTTTGGTAATGGGTTGGCTGCCAGTATATCGCTTTAGCCACAGACATAAAGGCACCAAGTGTTAGGTGTATGGCTCAGATGCTCGCCTTTTTTTTTTTTTTACCCACCTTTTTTTTTTTCCTGGCCCATGAGAAGCCAACGCAACATCCGTAGTAGGTGACCGTTACTTTATTTAGAAGCTTGGTGGAAGCTGTTGTGTTTTTTTCTGAGCATTTGATGGGTTTGTCCCAATCTAATGAGCAGTAAATAAGGCTGCTCATACATTAATTTTTGCTTGTTAAACCTGCAGGCTGAACAGGAGAAAGCCACTCAATTTCCCCTGCCGGCTATTCTATTTAAAAGAGAACTAAGGCCAAACCTTTTTTTGCCTTTAGTTCTCTTTTTGGTCACAGGAGGTCATTTATTAATGTTCTCCTGTGACCCAAAACGCTACAGGTGGGAAAAGATCCTGACAATATTGTTGTGATCCATCCTGCTGCCAGCTGGCTCTGCCTCTCTAGAGCCAGAGCCAGCTGTGCCCGCCCCCTCCCATGTCCCTCCCTCCAATGAGCGCTGGAGGAACAAAGAGTGGGGAGGGGGGTAATCCCTGGTGGAGGGTGTTGATTGACAGTCACTACTCTCTGCAGGGAGATGCCATCAGCTGAGTGATCAGGTGTTTCTGATCGCTCAGTGCTCGAGCTTTAGAGCCAACGTGACAGCTGCAATGTTGCATGTCAGGTCAAGCTATTGGGAAGAGTACATTTAACTCTCCCAAGAGTTCTATTTTAAGCATATAATACCCAATGAATATCCAAACGATGACTGCAGCCACTGTTCGGCCAACAATTTTCCACCTGGCTTCCTAGATTTTTTTATTCAAAAATTGTCAAGCTGGGTCACAGTTAATCAGCTGAAATTCAAGACCTGTATGGCCATTCTCTAAAGAACAAAATTAGTTTTATAAAAATGAATATACAATTTGCATGGGTTTGACTGTTTTCCCTCCTTTTGATATCAATTTGTTTTTATTCCAGACCAGAAACTCCTTTTCCTTCTGCAGGCCTATGAGCAAAATAACCTGAGTCTCACAGATTTCAGGTAACTCACTGAAATATATAATGCTTATCCGTTCTCTACAGACGTGGACACATTTATTGGTAAACTTACAGCTCATTAAAACTACTCTTCATGAGGAAGCAGTGATCCCCCGCAGAGGTCCAACAAACCCCCTGCTGGGTCTGTGTTAGAGCTTGTCAATCAGTAGCAAGCATGAGATTTGAGGGCTCTGGCTCTGACCCAGCAAATGGGCATGTCAGACCTTTGCAGAGAGACCACTGCTTCCACAAGCAAGTAGAACAAACTGAACATTTTGAACACCTTTCGTTTTGATGCACCTAAAATGTATGTTAAATATAATTTCAACTAAAAGTTCAATTGGGATTTAACACATAAAAAAAGGCCCATTAAAAATGTGTGTTGCACATGATAATAGTTTGCTGTATTGCTTATTACATTGTGTTACAACTTGTGTATGGGTTGGAAAGAAAAGCCTAAGGGTTGGTTCGCACCAGATGCAGTAGTGATGCAGTCCGTTTAGTTTGGCAGCGGCATCAAAATCGTGTCGCAATGCTTTCCAATAGGATTTAGAATAGTGCAGTCAGTTCCGATGCAGTCAGGAAAAATCCTGCTTGCCCCATTTTAGCTGCACCTGATCGCAACAGAACGCATAAAAATGCATACAAACGCAGTGGACTACACCTGAAAGCTCATTTTAAGGCCCAGTCACACCATCAAGAGTACGCTCCAGTGTGTTCAGCCTCTGGAACGCAACCCGCCAGCTCACTTTGTTTTGGTGCAGTTGCGATCTGCAAATAATAGTGCATGCAGCATTTTTTGCAGATCGCACTGGACCGGAACGCAGGCACTAATGTGCCACCCGTTCCGGTACTGGCGGTCACACTGCTGGCCCCTCCTGCCCCAAAACAAAGAGAGCTGGCCGGGTTGCATTCCAGAGGCAGAACGCACTGGAACGCACTCTTGATGGTGTGACGGCCCTCAAGCTAAAAAAAAAGCGGCAATACATCGCACTGCAACTGCACAGACGCACACAGTTCTGATGGAGTTATGATGTAAACTAGTCCTCAACATCGCCTTGCAGCTTTGCTTGTTTAATGAGTCTAATGATAGATGGATGCTACTGTTTGCTTTTGCAATACTGACACAAACTGTAACCCCCCCCCCCTACTTCCCCTCAGATTGCTGTTGTGGGGTCCAGCTGCGGTGGAGCATCACAAGACAAGGAAAAGTTTGGGGAAATCCCTGTGGCAACAGCCAACCATGGAGGAGATTCTCAACCTGTTAGACCGGGAGAAAATGCTGGAAACCCTCCTGAATTTCCCGCTGCACCGCAAGCTGATTGCCGAGGTATTGCGTTGGAATTGTTGTATGTTTATTCTTCACACTGCCAAATTTACTGAATCACATGGAGGAAGGAGTGCTAGTGTTCTGTACAAGCGACAATCCAATATCCGCTTTTTACACTGCAAATGAAAATAGCGTTTCTTTCAAATTCATATCTCAAAGCCATAACACAGTGTGTTAATAGTGGACGAAAAAACTCATTCAACGTGATGCCCCCTTTGGCTAGGCGAATGGGATAGAAGATGGGTTCTATGGGAAGGAATATTATTTATGTCATATCCATGTTTTTAAAAAAAAAAGGTCCTTTCAGTGTCTCTGCCACTGCTGTTTTTAGATGCTTAACGAAAGACAGAAAACCCTTTCCTGGAGATCTCCATGGTAGAATGATATACATGAGATATATATATATACATGATGTCACTTCTCTCTTTTTAGGATAACAGTACATTGGTTGTCTGTCTAAACCAGGGGTGGGCAACTCCTGCTGTTGTGGGACTACAAGCCCCATGAGGCATTGCAAGACTTGCACAGCCACAGGCATGACTCCAAGGGGGGGGGGGGG